TTCCTAGAGGACTTGATCGTGCATGGTTAAGCATCCTCCACAACTCCCATGTTTACAATGAGCGTCTCCCACTGCCAGGAGTGACGCCCAACCTGCCACGGAAGCCGCGGGGACATTGTGCAAACACAGCTGGAGAAACATAAGCACCGTTTGCAATAGGAATTGTTTCTCCCGGTGGCAAAGCTGTCGATCATTTTGGTGTGGCGATGGTAGAGGGCAGCAGCAGTTGCTGCTCATTATTCCTTATTAGTACACCAGAGTCACGGTGGAAGGATGCTGTTTTCACTGGGGGCTGTGGTTTTTTCTCCTCCGCAGCCACTGGGTCTATTCTGCGTTAATCACGCTGACATTATTCAGTCGATCTCACAGGCTTGCACTTGATCGTCGTGTTGCTAAGCGACTGCTGGGTTCACAGACAGAGCGAGCACTCCCCCCTTAACCTGACAAAAACCCCTGCAATAGTCTTCTCCCCATTTCTTTTATCAGCTCCATATAAAAGTCAGTAGCCTCTCAAGTGAATTTATAGCTCCGCTATATTTATAGCATCCCGGTCGATAGTGCCGTTATCCCTCCCATCCTCCCCGCTCCGCTCGCTGACAGCAGAGCATCACCTGCCAAGCTGCGGGGCTCCCCCGGGCTGGGTGTTCCCATCTCCGTACCCGTGCGGATCCAAATCTGGAAATGGGAGTTGTGACCAAAGCTCATCATTAGGGCTTTAGTGTTGGGTATTTGGGTCAAATGGAGGCCCATATCCAAATACCCTCAACCTTCTCTGTAAGGAAGGATGGGAAAACTGGAGGAAGCGATGGTCGGATGTTGTGGCCTGACTGCATGGATAGACCAGATAAAAACCTCTATCACCAGGACCGATCTCCAAAATTTCATAAAGTAAATGATGGCCAAAACTGGGAGTGGGATTAGCTCTGGTCTAGAACCTTCTGATCAAACCTTGTAATTACGCTTTTAGTAGTACAAAGCAAGCAAGCAAGCACATCCTTTCGCTTCTTCCTCTTTTTCCTTCCTCCACCAGTCTCCTTTTTCCTATCCCACGGCTGGTCACTGCCACTGAGAAGCAGATGGTTTCCAGTCAAACGTTTCCATGCTCTATTTAAAAATCTTGAAACTCAGTGTCTCCATAAGAACCACAGAAAACTATAAATACACCGTGTGAAATTATTGCTAAACCACTGAGCAGAGAAAAAAAAAAATCAAGTCTAGGATTGTTTTTTAATGAAATAATTTGAGAGAGGAATGCTGCTCAGTACTGTAGAACAATCTCTTCCTAATCCTCATTTATCAAAAATATGAAAGAAGATATTTTTATGGGTTTCTGTAGCAAGCCATTACCCAACTATCTACAATTTAATTCAGCTCTAAGCTACCCTAACAGGGCAATTGCCACGAATAAACTACAATTGTTATGTCCACTGGCTGTGCAAAAGTAACTCCTAGTGATATTTAGAATTGCTGTCTGGGCTGTAACTTCATATATGTCCCAATGAGCAAATACATATTTTTAATTTCATCAGGCTGCTAGCGCTGCGAACATAACCCAAGCGAGCCTGTGAACAATGTTCCTATTTATAACACTTCCCAATACTTCTCTTTGGCTGAAGGATATGAACAGGCGTACTCATTTTTTATCGCTTTTCCTTTAGCAGAGCTAACAAGTTGTTCTTTAATTTAGCAGAATCGCTGCTTTCCATGAGCTAAAATTCCTTGCTCCCTTTCTAATGCTCCCTCACATAAAAGGGCTCCAAGCTCTACAATTGGTTGTCCTAGGCTCTACAGTATTAGAAAAAAAATCAAGAAACTCTAAGAATTTTAGCTTTAAAATTTAAATATTAGCTTTAATACTTGGAATTTTGGCAAGATGGTATTCCTTGGTCATAATATTTGACAGCTTTGTGAAAAATTGTGTCAGTCCTGCAGTTGGGCTAGAAAGGCTGTAATTTACTTAATTTTATAAAAGATAAGGCAGGAGTAAAAGCAGTAAAAAAAAAAAAAAGCCTTTGTCTGGGAAGCATTTACCATGCATCCATTGCTTTTATGCCTTTGAGAACAGAACTGAAATTTAAAGCAGACAGTTCAGGGCATAAACATATACAGCACAACAAGAAGAAATCAGAGCATTTTCTCCACTGTGATAAATTTTGCTATTAGCCTTTTGCTCCCTCTTTCACACTCTTCATCAAGCTCAGAAATCAATCCTCTCTCATCCATCACCGGAACGTGGAGCTGGTTAAGCTGAGAGGGGACGGTGCCAGCATTGCTCCAGGGGCAGTCGGGACCCGGGCACGGGCGCAGCCACCACCGAACAAACCACCGCTGGTTTACAAGTAGGACTTCTGAATCCACAAGTGGACCTCCCAGTTTCCATCTCTCTACCTCACTCTTGCGAAGAGGACAAGGAATTGCTTGCAGCACCTTTTAAAATATACTTTTAGTATCTGTAGATATGGATCTCTTCTGCTGTCTCCGATCTAGTACTTAGCTTGAAAAAGAAATCCTAGAATCGCTTAGGTTGGAAAAGACCTTTAAGATCATCCAGTCCAACCATTAACCTAACATCCTGAGTAACGTTTTCTGATCATTTTTAGTCTCTTCAATTCACCTAATTTTCTGGAGCTTAATTAAAAAATAATGTAATCCCATCAGTTTTGAAAACAGAAGGAAACAAAATACAGCCCTCTTACCTTCTGTTCCCACTAGGAATTCTGTGGCGGTGTCATTTTCTCCCACAGTCAAATGGCAGCCAAGAGTTTTGCTGCTCTATGCCACTGTCAACTTTTCTTATTTATTACCTCATAGATCTTTCGGTATTATGTCCCAAGATGCTCTCTCTAGTTTGCAAAGATGCCTGTTTGGGCTCACTTTTCAGGAAAGAAGTAGTATTTCAGCCACATTGAAATAAAGCTTTGCGTGGTTTTGTGTCCAAATTAAGCATCTCTGTTCCATAATGAAGACTACGTAATTTGCCAAAGCTGAGTTATAAGAATTAAAAAAGCTAAAGGAGAGAAAAGCAACATAACTTTCTAACACTGTCCAAATCAGATCTTTCTCTAAAATGTAACATATATGGGACTACTCTTGCTTACATGATAATTTGCTTTTCTCCAATGAAGTGATATAGTACTTTTAAAATTTTTTTCCAGCCTTTATACCTGTTTAAATGTCTTTTCACAAAAAAAGATGTACCTCTATTTGCTTCTACTTTTCATTTTCCTCTCAGTAATGATACTTTGACATATTTACGGTACATTGTAGTTGCTAGACTCAGTTATTTTCTAATAAAATAGGAATGCTAAAGATCTCTACTGTAACTGGGAAATAACTATCAGTTTAAATATAAAAATGATAAATAATATTATACATAGGAAGCTAGAGGCAACATGCTCATATGGCTGAGTAGAAAGACGATCAAGGTCTAGCAAAAATAGTATTCTTGAAGACGTAAGAAAAATAATATGAAATGAAACTGTCAGAGTCATCTGCAAGACAAGACTTATGTAAATTCAAGCTTAGTGCAGAAGTATTGGTTTTATGCTTGCCTGAGGTATTCTCAAATGTAAAGTGTTCAGTTGCTGTGCTAACTTTGTTTAAAGACTGTCTTCATCAGGCAGCCGGTATATATTGTTTTTCTTGTACTGTTTTCATTGGGTTTTTTTTTCATGTATTAAGGCTTTTCCTGTACAGACAACTCAATTTCTACTCCATTTAGTCAAGTGCCACTGACACTAACCTCCTGGTCACGTTTGATATCCTCCATCTTGCAGGAAAAAATATAACTACCTGACGCTGAGGCTTTTGATCGCACTGTTTTCTGAGCAATCATTTGCAATTAACAGAGCCGCCCTTCCCCTAAAACCAAATTATCTTCATGCAGGCAAAGAATGGTAGGTTTTCAAAGGCCAAGTTATTTATTATCCAGCAGAATAATTCTAATAACATTTACTTAGATGGTATCTTTTTTTAAAAACAAAATCAGCACCGCATTTCTGCAAAAAATGCATTTCTGTGGAGCAGTGCGGGCCAAACAATATGCAATACTTCAGTGAAAGGAACATTTCACTGCTGTATGCAAGGCCAAACCATTCCACACCACAAAAAGAAATACCTCAGGCTCCCAATAAATCTATTAAAATTACCTTTTTTTTCCATAAGCATGGATTTCATGCTATTATAGCCATATACCACAAATGTGACTACACAATTACTTGTACATTTACCCAATGGTGTCTGACTACTGTACGTTACTTATCACTTAAGTACCTTTCAGAAACCACTTATATGCAAATGTATTGCACCGCACTAGCAGGGATCCTGCTGTTGGGAGGAATAAGCCACCTCCTTGAGCCTGTAAACTTTGGAGACTATTCACTAACAAGCACGTACAATAGAAAGTAAGAACTTAAACCCCACAGTACTAAGTGGTAGAGATGCTAAATTAACTTTTTAGTACTAACATGAATAGTGCAAAGTGATTTCAATGGGTGATTTTCTAAGATAGCTTTATACTTCATGATAAAGTGGATTATCAGAGGTATCGGCATGCATCAAATGACATCACACAGTGAATGTAAAGTAAGCCTAGGCAAAACCACTTTTTTACCTGTTTGAAGCCAAAATAAGTAATGGGACTAAACAAAAATTAAATTATCACCAGATTTTTAAGAGAAAAAAGTTTTAAGAGAGAAGTACTACTTAAAAATAAATCTAAGAAACTCACATCAAAACAATTGAAAGGTTTGTGGAAACTGTCTTTGAAGTTGGGGAAGACTGAGAAAGCTCCTGCCCTATGGTGTAGACTACAGAAACGTTGGCAATGTAGGAAATTCTTCCCCTCTGTAAAATCGTTTGTCATAGACTATTCATTAAACAAACATATACAATAGAGAGTACATTCTTGTTTAATCTATGTGATTTACGGGGGAAGTTAGTGAAGGGATGGGAAAAAAACCAAGCCTTTATTAGAAAATTATTTGGTTAATTACATTTACCTTGTACTGAGACTTGCAGTTTTTGTTCCAGTAGGTGACTCCAATCCTTCCCCTGGCTTTGAGGATTTCTCTCTGTTCATTTGCTGGAGTATTGAGTTCAATTCACTAATAACATTAGCCTTTGGGCCTGAGAGAATCGGGCTTTTCACCTCCGTCACATCACCCCATAGCTTAGATGTCCTTTGGGGAACAACTTTAGCCATATTGGGCTGTGCGCTGATCGGAGGTGGGGGCGGAGCGGGAGGAGGAATAACAAAGCTGTCTACAGTTTCTTCGATTAGCGCGTCCTTGTAAAGTGCATTGCTTTTGTTGATTATGGGCTTCATTTTTGGCTTAGGAGGTACTGGGGGTTTGTCCACCAGAAATGTTTGCCCATCTGCATAGACTGTACAAGTATCCACGTTCTCACCCCCTTCCGAGGATAAGGTAGAGATGCTGGACACCGTTGAGATAGTGCTGGTTGTCTCTAAGTGATGGTCACTACTACTTCGACTGTCTACCTCCTCAATCCCAGAGTCAGTGACGTTATCAAAGCTGTCAGGGGGTGGCAGAAAGGAGGCAGGCAAACAGTTCGAAAGACCCACTTGCTTTTTACTGTCTAAGGAATTTGTTGACTGGCTGGGGGCAAATGGTGCGGGTGAAGGCGTGCCATTTTTTCTTTGCTTGATCAAGTCTGTTAGAGCCGAACCGGGAGCTGCGCGGTCGTCGGGGATATCAAAGCTGTTGGCGAACTCTAAGGGGGGTGGTAGTGGCTCAGTAAAAATAAACTCTTCATCGATATCGACTGATGCTAAGGGTGGCGGAGGGATACGGAACGGCAAGATGACAGGGTCGTCGACAGAGCTCGCTGCTACGATGGTTTTGCAGGGAGATGCCGGTGGCTCGGGCGCAGCAGGCACGTTCAGCTCGCTTTCTGCTTCCTCGCTCCCCTCTGGCCTCTCTGGCGGGGAATTTTCAGGGTTCGGTTCCATTTCAGCTCTCTTTTCCTCTTCATCTTCGGGCGTATCGTCTGACTTTGCTGTGTCCACGGTATGAACCATTAACAAGCCAGCTGACTTTTGCTGCGAAGTATCCACAATGTTTATCAACATGTTTTTCTTCTCCTCGGCTTTCTTTTCTTTCCCTGCATCTGCTTCATACTTGTTCTCGGTCTCCTGCCGTCTCAGTGGGCCACGAGTATTTTGCCTAGTGACAGTAGCAGCAACAGGAAAAGTCGTTTCAATATTGGGTCTCAGCTTTGTATCGATGTAAAGTGGTTTATTAAGGTCAGCTTTAACAGTGTCTCCTTTGCCTGGAATCTGCTGTGTTTGTTCTTTCATGGCTCTGTCCCTGGCAGAGAGAGCGAGGGCTAGTGGCGAGTTTGGATCTAATAGCTTTCCTGTGACCGGGTGAACGTAATTATCTGAGCTGGGTGCATTCGTGGACTTAGCTGCCCCTGTACTGTTTTCAGTACCTTTCGTTTTGGACGAAGCGTTTAATGTCCTTGAATCACTTTGATTGCTGGGTTCACTGCTATTAAAAAGACTTTCAGGCTCTCTAGGTGCGGGAATCGGAGATGGTGACATAAGCTGTCTAAAACCATCTTCGCTGCTAAACATTGCTTCATCGGTAAATTTAGATTGCCTCATACGTGGTGTTGGTGGTGTTAGTCCAACATCCTCATCTCCCAGGTCTGTGGAAAGGAAGGCTGGAGAATTACGCCTTGCTTCCAGCCTCTTTTCCCTGTCCCTCACTGCTCCAGCAATGGCTGCTGCAAACGGGCTGCTGACACCCAAGCTATCGTCAGGTCGGAGTTGCCCAGGTTGCTCCGAAGACTGAGGATCGATTTCCATGCTGCTCCCTTGGCTGCTTTTCCCGCTGCTGCTGGTGGATGGCTCTTTCACAATAATTGTCGGGATCGGAATAGAGCAGGTCTTTTCTGGACTGTCTTCAACATTGGATTGTTTCACCAGCATCCCCTTCCGCCTCGCTGGTTTGGCCGGCACGTAAACTGCTTTGCTTGCAATCTTCCCAACCTCAGAATATGGGTTTTCCGGCATCTGACCCCTCTTGTTCCTGAAATTTGCCTGAGATGCGGCACTCCGACTGTACAGGTCTTCAGAGTCCAGAGAGTATCGGTCCAGCTCTCGCCTGTAATAGATCCCTTTGTCCCTTATCATTGTTCCCACATTCTCAGGCCTAACCAAAGAAATTTTTGAACCTGAATTCTGATTAAATGGAGGTTTAATAGTTCCATAGCTCCTTGATGTTGGGGATTTGGGAGAGTTGTAGAGAGAGGGAGAAGGTGGTGGTGGTGAAGGAGGTAAGGACTGTGGTGGTGGTGGGATATCTTCAGAGGTGTCAGGCATTGAAAGACTTCTGGTAAACTTCAGCATAGGAGGAGCCAAAAACTGCCGTTCTTCCTCTGTTATTCCTAAAAATCAGAAAATATATTTAAAACACTCTCTTCCACTGGGATCCCCCATATTGTATTATTTCTGTATCCAACCTCAAATACCAGGATGCATTTCACATGACATGAGGCAAATGCAAAATTATGAAAGAGGTCTTTTGGTTTGATCCTACCATAAGCATTCTTTCTTGTTGAACTTCCAGAGACCCAGATGCCAGAATTAAAAAGGATGCTACAGAATTTTAATTAAACCGATCATTGATGTGTAGGCAAATGTTTTGGTTTTATGTATCACCAAGGTAGCTGTAGAGAAGCTCATTTTCTTTGAAAATTATTGAACAGGGAAGACATTCTGTGCAGAAGAGTAGCTTATGACTTGCTCTAGCACTCTATAAACGCATATAATAATGCAACTTAGAAACCTAATGAATTTTTAAGATGCATTTGAAACTTAGCGAAGGGACTGCGAAGATTCTATTGGGGAAAAAATCATAATGTTTCATTTCAAAAGATGACATTATATTATTACAAATACAGCTTTTAACATAAATAAACTGGATGATATTGGGATAATTTAGATACTAATTTTACATCAGCATACTGCCTTTCTAAATTGATAACTAACACTACTAAGATTACTACCAAGAACAAAGCAAGCCCAAATTTGGTCTGCTCTTTTTTCCTCTTTTCTAAAATCATCTGTTGTCATCATTTGGAATGAAAAAGAGGTGAATTGTATTCCATTTGATCAATAGGGATTCCTTTGTAAACTACACAGCATTACAATGCTTTTGCCTCAATAACAAAGAAAAAAGGAATAACATTTTGCCCTAGGTCATGCATTGCAAAGGGCTTGTACTGATCTTTATTGTCTCCTTCTCACTGCCTTTCCTTGTTAGAGGAAACATTCTAAAGAAAGGAATTAAATTATAATTCCATATTACTTGCCTACTGCCATCAAAGCAGAATGTGGAAATTATATCGTCTTACACACAAACTTCTTTTCTCATGAACTTTGTATAAAAAATAAACAGTCATTCACTGAGGTAAAGATGTCGGAGAAATGTGCTTTAAGAAAGAAGCAAAGTTACTAAAAGTATGTGATTAATGCACAAGCAAACTATACATGAGAAGCATTTTACCTATAGATTTTTGTCTTCTCATTGTACCCCGAGGTATACCCAGAAAAGGACCTTGAGGACTCCCTGGTACAGTGGGCGTCATCACAGCAATACCCTGTCTCTCATACATGGACTACAAAAAAGCAAACAAAAAACCCCACAAGCATTAAAGCATGCAAGTCTTTCTCTCACATGTAAATAACTCTTCTGTCATATCTGCTAATTCACTACCCCTTTTACTTAGAATTCTTATGGAAAATAACAAATTTGGTATTATTTTGGGGAGGAGGTGAAGGGAAAGGGAAGGCTGGGCTTTATTTACATGTTATTAAAATGACAACAGCTGTAAGTGGAGTTAGCTGAAATTATTTACAAGGCAATATGTTAAGTTTCCAGCACATTTTGTGTGCTGTAAGAAAAACGAAGCGTGAGCAATTGCGTTTTGTTTCATTCACTTCCAAAAATCTAGCCACACACTGCACGGGTGTTAACGTTCACTCTGCACCAAGCTCTATGCAAGGTTACGCTGGCGGTCAGCATCTCAGCTAGGAACTGAGGAACGGCACCTGAATCCCAACGCACTCAACTCTCCCTCCTTGCAGGTCATCACAAAAAATATTTGTTTTTTCTGCCTCTTGGAATAGCCTTATTTTCCTTCCATCCCAAGCTGCTGAGGACAGCAAAATGCTTGTTGTATCAGGACTGATGTTTTTTTGGAGGGGTGGGTAATGGAAAAATACATCTAAAATGCAATAAAAACAATTATTTTTTCACATGTGAAGTTCTGTGAGAGCAAACTCTGCACCTGAGTAATCCAATTTCAGAGTTCTGGAGTTTAAATTTTTAATACGTGCGATAGTATTAATGTCAATTCTTCCCTTATACATGGTCATGTATTATTTAATCAAGATATTCTATATGCCATTAGGAATAATAAAAAAACTTGCAGTAGGAGAAACCTTCACATTAGTGGAAATTGTGTGGCTGCACTAACTCTGGCGCTGAAACTGCAACAGCATACCTTGACTTTCAGCAAAGTTTTTTAGCTTGGGTTTAGTGTTGTACTGACACCTTCAAGTTCAGAACTCGGTGGCGTCTCACCAGCTCAGATTACAGGCAGAGCAAGTTCACATCTGTTTGAATAACACCGAGGTAGCAATGTTTTTGATGTGACGGTCCCAGAATAAATATAAGGATATAATGAGAAAAGTCTTACAGGGGAATGCAGACTCTTCTGTTAAAAAACTATTACTAGAAATACAGAGTAGACCATGCCTTAAAGTTACAAGATAATAAAAGCAAAACGAGTCTATAAAGCAACGTTTGTAAATTCGTTTCTGCTGTATGCCCTGCACGCTGCCAAAAGGCCCCCTCCAATCAGTGTCAGAAGTGAAAGCAGTACTTCGTAGCTACCACTCACATTCATATCTGTAGCTGAGGGAAAACATCTACTAGAAGGCCGCTGTTTAATAGTTGCCACTCTTGAGTCCACAGTTGCATTGTCTGCAATTCTTGATGGCTTGGAAACTGGTACTATTTCATCCACCTTATCTGTAATATAAAAGTATTCAGTAAAATAAATATCATTTGTCCAACAACTGAAAATTTAAGTATTGCAAGGTCAAAGGAAGAGATTTACTTTTCAAAAAAATGCAAAGAAAAAGGTTTTTTGGCATTTTAACAAGGCAGCGCTTGAGCATCATAAGTCGTGCAAGCCGAGCACTTTTTATTGCTGCTACATAACATGCATGCTTTAGTTTTAAGCCTGCATGCATTTAATGTTTACTTAGTGTGACTCGAAAAACAATCCTCTTCTTCAAACCTTCAAAATGTGAAGGGAGAATATCTATATAGAAATGGAAAGAAGACCTTTAGAAATAATGAATCTGTACAGCACTGTTTCAAATAGAGATAAGCAGACTGTACTTAGTCATCAGAATTTCAGTGATATTTTGGACAATAACAAGTACTCCAGAAGTGCTCTTTTATGCCTATTCTCCTTAAGTAATCACATCTTAATTTATTCACACTCTTGGATTCTGAGATTAGCATTAGTAACTGCATCAGTTTTTTAAATGAAACTTTTATATGTGTTTTATATTTTAATAACTGCACAGTCTGGGAATGTATTTAGTTGTGGTCAGAAACAGACCAAATAGGCAAAGTCCAAATCTGAACGAGAACTTCAACATTTGGATTTGGGATTCTGATCTACCATGTGATGTGATGGTAAAATACAGGGAAAACTTTAATTAAGATCTTCTGAAGTTTAGAGTGTTAGTTTGAGCCCCGTCTCCAAGTTTGGTCACAAACAAGGTTCATCAGTATTTGGTAAATAACATTACTCCCTCAGTCTGAAGACCTCAAAGTACCAGATAATAACTAATTATAGCCTGACAGCTCCTTTATTGCTACTTCTACTACTACGAAACTAAGGCCCAGAGAAATTAAATGACTAGGCTAAGCCAGCAGAATAGGTCAATTTTTGAACCTGTAGCAGAATCCAAACTTGAATCACACCAACAGGTTTCCTTACTACACCTTCCATTGCATTTGCTTTCCCAAGAAAGCACAGACTGCACTGTATCATGTTGATTTAGTGTCTTTTCATTTGAAGTTTCACCGAAGTAAGGATTAATTATATAGCCTGTGGTATTTATGAGTGAAATACCTTAGCCTGGCTCCTAGGCTTCCACAATGTGAGGCAGAGCAATGTTACTTTTCAGCAATTACATCCGTCTCCCAAATGATTGATTATTTGCTTCAGCAAACAAGGATAGCTACTTCATTAGGATACTAGAGACTTTAAAAAAACCCAGGTTTTTGGTGGTCTAGAGATGGTGTTACTATGCCAAGTATCAGATTTAGGGATTTAAGTTTTACCTCTCACTGGAGAGCAGCGCACTCAGGGCCCTGGATATGGATATGGATGGGAATAAGGCAGGAGGAAAAGAGCTTTTGATCCCTCTACACAGTAGATCTGGCTGATGCAAGGATGATATTTTAAATGGGAGAAGAAGAGAGGGAAGAACTTTTAGCCTTCTGGTTAGGAAGAAGGTTGTCCTAGAAGTGGATATTTCAGTGTCACAGAGGGTCAGGGAGCAGGCAGGAAAGGAAAGGTTGAGCAGAACCAGTAAGCTGAACGCTGTTGAAAACTGTCTCACAAGAGTAGTGTTGCTGTTTCTTTTCAATTGAAGTTAGCATTCAATTCTTTTCATTGGTCTGCTTTATTTTTGTGTGTTTTAAATCATCCAGTGGAAGGAGAAAAGGAAAAAAATTCTTAAAATCATCACATGTATTCAAAAATAAAACAACTTCAGGTCACATTCCATAAGACTTTGTAATACAAACTGCGAACTTCTGAAAGAAAAATATCTGCACTTCTGCTCAGCAAAAGGCATCAGAAAGCAAAGGCGTAACCATGAACATTTGACCTACACAGCAAAAATATGGCTAGACTGTCGAATCGTACTCAGGGGATCTATCACCAAGAGCTTCAACTGGGCAGAGATTTCCTGTTAAGTCTCTCCCACCCTTTTTATCATCCCAGAAGCCAAACAACCGGTCTTTGGGATACAGAGAGAAGGAAGTTTTGGAAACTGAAGCACTAGGTACTCAAAATCTGTAAATAAGAAATATAAATATACCATGTAAGATCTGATCCCCTTTATTTTTAACAGACACATGTAACCATATACCCATTCAGACAACAAAAAGCTACAGGGAAAAATGAGGCTATGACAGACACTTGAAAAGCATGAAAATATTTGTTTGGGGATGAAACATACACACCCTCCAACTGCACTGATTTCGCTAGACAATACTAGAAGTCAGATCCTAATTTTGGATCTGACCAAAATATCAGTTGGTACCAATTCTTAATACCATCTACTATTTCCAGTTGGAAAAAACTTTGTTTTGTGTAAGTTTATTGCAGGTTTCTTGTCTGTAGAGAGGTTCTCAGTCCTTCTCACCCTATAGCTGCTCCCATTCGAGTGGCGCTTTGTGCCTTGCCAAGTCTAGCTAAAGCACTTAGAAATGGGAGAGGAGAGCAGGTTAAAGCTTAAGCTGCTTTGCAAGGAACTCTTTAGGGGTCCCTCGCGTGGTATTTCCAGCGGCAGCACTGCTACATCTGCGCAGCTTCTTCTTTTGCTCTGCTGCCTTTGATGAGAATGCAAAGGTAGAGTGGAGGTTGTCATTTTAAAACTACAACAACAACAAAAAAATTTGAAGCTACAGAAGCAGCCAGCGTGTGGAACGAGATTTATTCTGAATGGCAGCAGCTACATGGCGGGTCCTGCAGAATACGTCAAAATCTTTGCATCTGGCCGCAACTGCACCACACTTTTGAAGTGAAAGCACTATGTAAAATAAAAACATTCTCACTGTATTATCAAACGTGCTAGTTAGGCCAAGAAAATTAACTGGCTGAATTGTATTTAGCTTCATTCAAACTCATCCCAAAGAAATAAGACGTGAGCGTATTGGGACAAACTTTCACTTGCCTTCGCCTTTAACTAGGCTGTTCGTATCCACAGTACCAGTGTGCAAACCATGTATGCACCAGAAACACATGTTCAAAAGGCCGCACATACTGGAATAATTTGTCAGGCTTACTAATCGGCTCCTCTCGCAACCTCCATGTGATCTTAAATACTCTGCAGCATGCATTTCTCGTACCAGTGAGAGGGGAAGCTTACAAGCTTGTGTTGGAAATTCTCTGAGGATACCTTTACAAACAGTTTTAACAAAAGAGAGATAAAAAAAGCCCCAGAACGGGTGCAAAAATTTGCACACGGTGTGAGGTGTGTCGACAGTGTGGCCAAAGAAGCACGCCTCCAATGGCATTCTTAAGAGGAACGCAGCTGGACGTAGGCGGAAGGGAAGAAATATTCTGTAGTGGAAAAAGCCTACACTGGAGGTTGGCCATGCCGGCTGCATTTCATCGTTAAACCGGTCATTTAGCAAAGTACAGCCACAAGCACGCACGCACACACACTTATACGGGAGCAATTTGTGGCTGACTGGCAGAATAACAAAACACTATCTGCTTTATTTTTAATAACTTCAGTCTCGCAGAAAGCCAGGGAAGAAGAGTCTATGGCTCACTGGACAGAGCGCGCAGCTCAGCTGTAATCATAGAAGAGGATTTTTAGGCCTACGGTTACTCTCTAGTATTTGCCAGAGGAGGAATTCATCACGGCTTTGCCATATAAACTCTTCTGAACCTCTACGAGAAGCTACAACGGCATGTTGAGAGTCAAACACAGGAGCCATGCTACACCTGTGATAATTAGTTCCCACCGCTCGAGGGGCTCCTGGTAACAGCATCCTTTCGGAGAACTGTCAGGGATATCACATGTATAAGCCAGTCTGATGCCTCTGCATGCATATAGCAATTTGAGTGCCACTATATTAAATTCCCCCGAGAGAGGCAGCACCAACAGATAGAAAATAATTTATTGCAAAGTGCATTTCCATCGGCCCTGTGGGTTACCAATCGCACCCCTGCTCTGCTCAGGGTGCCAGCCCTCAGGAAATTAGATGGCCTAAAGGCACAGAAAGGAGTTGCATTTTATCAGCATGTAGGTCGTCTCTGATGAAAAGCTCTTAATCACAGACATAGTAGCACAGTACCCAACAGCATGTCATGACTTTTACATTCTCAAGAGGTCTGGCTGCTAGGCAAGTTGCTTTTTTTTTTTCTTTTTCTTAAATAATTAATATCTGTGATAATTACAGGGGACAGTCTCCTCCTAATAGATTTGTTGCAGGAGATGGCTCTTATCCCCGTAGAACACATTGCTTAGCGACTCCTGTTTCAAATCCCCAGACTCTCTCAGAGGAAAAATTATAATGCTGCCCATCAAACCACCAGATCCATCATAAAAGGAGCTTTGAAAATGAGAGTCAGGTGCCTAGATAGATCTGGTGGCACATCACTATACAGGCCCCAAAAGATAAATATGAGATATGATCCTGGCAACATTACTTATTGTACGACATAGCCAAGACATGTGGATTAGCTCCACCGAGGGTCTTAGAAAGTGAGCTTGTCAGACCCACAGAGGATAAGAATGATCATGATCCGGTACAGGCTAACCCCAACACCTCAGGCTGGCATGCCAGAAACACCAGGCAAAGACTGATCGAACACAGTTTTGGAGGCGAGTATTGCCAAGACCTGTATACTTACCACCAAGTCCAGAATGCTTGCTCAGAGGGGATGGGATAATGGAGAAAGAAAACTCAAAAAACAGCTGCCTCAAGAAATGACTTGTATTTGTAAGAAAAGCAATGAATGCCTGGCACAGAGTAAAAAAATGCTCGTATGAAGTTAAAGTGAAAGAACAGAGGCAAATGTTCTTCAAATACCAGCAGCACACATCGTTAACAGTGCAAATATAAACTACAAAATGTTAGACTAACCTAGTCAGCCAGAATACAATGTTAGCCAATGTAGGAAATGGTTGAATTCTGCCACTGATGGCCTTATGGCTAAGAATTAAAAGGACAGGCACATTAAAAAAAACCCTAAAAATCCTATGGTGCGGTTATTTTTTCTTCCCTCCCCCTTTTGCCTGGCGTGTAGGCATGGGCAACGAGGCCCTCTCGGTTATGGCTCTCTGCAGCCGGCCACTGCGACAAGGCAGCGTGGCCTGCGGTGGTTCTCGAGAGTCGCTCGTCCCTTCGGCCCCTGGTAAGCACACAGTGGAGGATGCCACTGCGTCCTCACCAGTCCATGTCGAGGCACAGGTTAACTCGACATGAGGGGTGGCTCTTTGGGAGATGCGTGTTTCAAGGACCTGTGTCCTTGGCTGCTTGAGGAAAGCTAAAATCTCTGACAGGTAGTTATGGATGGCTCTTGTGGAGGTAGCCACAATGCCCAGCTGCAGCTCCATACGGCCCATGGACTGTGACATGAGACCCATGGACTGTGCATGCTCCCTCTTGATATTTTCCAGCAGCTGCACAATCCTACTGTTGGTTTCCATCAACAGCTTCTCTCCCTCTGTTAGCTGGGGCTGCCCTCTCCAACCCCGATCCCTAGGGACAGGCTCAACACCGCGGTGCTCTTCATTCATCTCATCATTTCCCTCCTCCTCCTCAGGAGAGTCACTTTCAAACTGAGGAGTCCTACTGAGTGACTGATCCCCGGGAGACTGTATGTCCATGGTACACTCCGGAGTCCGCGCTGGCGTTTGAAATCCCTCAAAATCCTCCCCAACGTTGCTGTGCGTTTCAGACGAGGACAACGGCCACTGCCAGCTCTCTGTGGTCCTAGCCGGTGAGTCTTCGTCAGAGGCAGGCACCGAAGATTCCTGTTCTTCGGCCGGCGTGGACGGCGAGCTCCCTCGGTGACGGCCGGCTTGCCCCGAGGATCCAGGAACCTCCCCATCTTGTTCCCCAGTGACATCTGGCAATCAAATAGAGGAGCAACAACCACTGTATCTGAGGCCAGGCAGATGGAGGTATCTACATGCATTGGACAACACATAGAAAGAAGCCAGTTGGGAAGCCAGAGTGTATGTGTTTGGGCAAACGGAAGGGCGGACTAAAGTTTAGTGACTGCATTGGGCACGTGGCAGTTGACGTTAGTAACCGCTTTTGGTATAAATGCACACTGTCCTGTACCCAGAACACACACAGCCATGCTGCATCCCAAGGCAGGAACTACCAATTCACCTCATCGTGACTGTGACAGGAAATGCCAGTGAACCTATCAAAAAGCTCACCTATGCACTGCAGTGGTGTCAGTCAGAAATCCCTGGGACGAGCTCAGGGCCAAGTGTCCAATTGAGCTTCCTGGGGTGCCAGATGTGCTCCACCACTGGCTGAGGGCAGCCCTTTGTTGTTCTGAAGCACTGCTGGCTATCTTCGCTTTTGTCCGACGTCTCACGTCACCCCCACCCCCAGTGCGCTCTCTCCCAAATCACTGCTGCAGCACGAGGGTGGCCGTCCACAGCATTTATCCCGCGAGCAATGCCCTCCCCAACATTTGCCGCATTTTCTCGTTCTTTTCTCCAAACGGTAGGCAACGCTATCTGAGGGCATTGCTCGCCAGGATCTCATCGTCTTCTGAAAATAAACTTATTTTTGCCCTCCCCTGGCTACCTCTTCCCTTGCCTGAGGGCACATGGTGGAAATCGGGGTGCAAGTGCTTCCCTGTGGCAGCTTAGTGTGCAAAGAGGCATCGTTAGAGACGTTAACGAGGAGGATATTACGGCTGTGCTTACTCTAAATCCTCCCCTACATAAAATGCACTCCCAAAGGCTAGAAATGGCTAAGCTTTTTGCACCCACAGCGATCACTGGCTCATAGCAGAGCGTGATCTGCCCAGCACCATTCTTGATTACATGAGTTGGTGGCCGTAACTCTCACCCTTTCCATGCTTCAGATAAAAAAAAAAAGAGTCCACTTCGGTTTTTTGGGGGGGACAATTTGGTCATCAGAAATTAATCTGGGGCGGTCTGGCTAAAACGTTGCAGTAGGGTAGCCCAAAGAGCCTGCATTCCTCACACTCAGGCAAGGGATACGTGAGAGAAGCGCTGTTGTTGCTACGACTGTGACCTGAACAGCAGTGGCTGACTGTTGCTAGCTGGCTGGCTGTGCTGCTCACGCTACAGCGGTCTGAATGCCACATCGGTGTCATGCCTACTCTCTGGCATCCCAGTCTTGAAAAATTTTATTCTTAAAGGACTGATTTCTGCTCTTTGAAATACTTGAGATGCTGCTCTTCAGACCTCAACTTGAAGCTGTAAGCTTACATCTGGAAGGTGTTGCTGAGGTCATGTTAAATGGTACTTCTGGTTCTGTTTATGAATCGGGAGTGGGGGGGTTGTTTGAGTTTTTATTTTTATTTTTTTATTTCATATGGGTTTAAATGAAAGCTCCTTCTGACAGACCCAAGGATCCCTCCTCCTATATATCAGTCCCTGTCTACCCTAATCCTAATGGGGCACTCATTATTTCTACACCCAAGTGCCTCCAATATTATACTGTTCTAAAAGGGATTCTCTGTGGCTTAATATAATTTTTTTTTTAAATGCTAAAATAATGGATATTATTTGTGCGTTTAGCATATTCACTCCTTCAAAGTATTCACATTCAAAGTATTCACATTCTGTCTGTGTCTGGCCGGACTGTCCAGTTGCATGTTTTATGGAAAGTGAGGATGAAATTGTATTTGTAAAAAAGCATGAGCTCCTTATGAAAATGAATTTTAGGGACAAACTGTCATGCAATCATTGGCTCTTCCACTCTGTGGAGATTTGAAAGGGACCGTATATCAACCTAACTGGAATAACTGCTTCTTCCTTTGCAATTCTTCTCCCCCTTTGCCTAATACAGCCGTAGCTGCAATCCTTCATTAACAAATCTCTCTGAACAACTACAGTGTAGGACCATGAAATTATTTCTCAGCATTTTCCTCTTTGAGTACACATGAAAAAAAGAACAAAAAAACCAGGGGACCTATTTTTACCACACATAGCAAACACACATTTCAGTTAAATTCTATGGAATCGGAGAAAGGTAAGGGATCATATATATTCATTCTGGTAGAGCCACTGGTCATACAAAATGTCTTTGTATTTCTTTTGACATGCCATCAGAAAATTCCCCGTATTTGAAAACTCCATTTTCCTGACAAGTGTTCTAAACAGAGCCCACCTAGCAATTGGTAAGTAATAGAACCAAACTAAATTAAAAGTAAAAAACTGAAGCAAAACAAAATAAAAAACTCCAAACCCCACATTAATTTATGAGTATTTCTGTAAATAGTATCACTGAGTTTAGTTTGTTCAGATTCAGGGGGATCGTAACACTTTGTTATTTGTGCATGTTTACACATTTGCCAGAGGCTTGCGAACAAAAGTTTCTCTGAAAAAGCGTAGTAAATTTTTTGCAAAGTTCCTAATTCTGTATGGAAATTTACCACTTGCTAGCCTCCTAATCAGTATTTTCAGCCTTTCAGAGCCGAAAGAACAGCATCTGGCATAGGTGACCGATAACACAAATGACAAAGGGTACAAGCAAACAGTCTGTGAAAACCCATGGGCAGAAAGTTAATTGTGGAAACTATTGGCGAATACTTATGAATAATGAATACATTCACAGGTTTTAGGATAGGTTTGTTACCTTGACTAGCAAGGAAAAGGAGGAATGTTCATAACTGTTATTACTTGTAACAAAGTGTTCAACGACTCTAGTAACTCCGGTTTCTGGAAGCTTTATGAAGCATTGACATAGGGCATGGGGAACCGAGGGTGCGCTACAGGCATGGCCTTACACAAGCTTTCGTTCGCTACAGAGCAATCATGGGAAAACTGCCTGAAGGTCAACGGCTGACACCACCTTGATGCATGTGTCAGTCTCTGCCCAGTAAATCCATTCCTTGATGACCAAAGGTCGCCCTAAATTCAGACCGGATCTTGGTAAGACGATTGCACCAGCGGCCAGGTTGGTGCTGTGGAAAAGGTGTGCCAGTTACAGTAGGGGCACCGGAAAACTTGGTTCGGCCAGAAACTGTCCTCATCGGCCAGAGAAGAGCTTTGGACAGCTGCCGACAGTAGGATTAAAGCTGGCTGAAAGAGTTACCTCAACTAACTGCCTTTACCTCATTTCCTTGGGAAAGGGGTGACTCTCTTTAAAAAAAAAAAAAAAAAAAAAAAAAAAGAGGGCACTAAGACTGTCAAGTCAAAATTGGCTATGGACCAAACTATATATCCACATGGTTGATCTTACTCGGTTGTTAATTGGCTTTAAAAAACCCCTCTCTATTAAAACCAAGCTTGCAATACAATGGGTACAAAGAAGAACAGCTCGCTTCCTTAGGTGTGGAGCAAAGGGAAGAGGTCAGATTCTCTGATCTTTCTAGTTGTTTCCACCTTACACACCATTCCTGCATGCAGCATTTTGCTCACGGTGATACATACGACTTACAGGCAAAATAGGTCACTTATGCCTTTTATAGGTATCTTTATATTTATACCTAGTGACACCAGCCAACAAACTGGCAGTCTCCAAAGTTGTGACTTGCTTCCTGTTCCTAAACTCACGTCCCTTGCTCTGACAGGGCATGACTCCCATTTTGATTCTTAAATGACGAAGGGAATCAGAAAGGAGCATGCATATGGGCTAAAGGAAATACAAACATCCAGAAGTCAGTGACCCACTGCACTTTAATGTTAGTGTTTGATCACTGTGAGTACTATGCAGCTATTTCCACAAGTCACGTGGGACTCACAGGTGTCTGAAGACTGGGTTTTGTTCTACTGGGCTGATTCTGTTGTGTTTAAAGAAAAAATGAGATCTGTTATTAAAGTGGTCCATGTAGTAGTAACTAGTGAACCTTCATCAAAGTCCTGGCTATCTTCCTTTCTTTCCTCTTAGACAGGTCCTCTTTCTGCAGCGAAGCCCGTAGCTGGCTGCCTGCACGGGTGTTCGCACTGGGCTGATAGAGAGCTTGGTCTGATGTGGTAGATCAGCAATTGCTCCTGGTGGCCACAGGAGAACTGCTCCATCTTTTGAGCCTGCAGGGGTGATCTGTGATTTGCCCGATCCTGTTCTGAACATGGTGATTAGAAGCCAGGATTATTCCAGCCTTTAGGTTCCTGGATGTGTCCATCATTTTGGAGCACTGCTATACCGTGCTGTCTCTTTGCACCACAACATTCATGACCAGTGAGAGTCCTTTCAGGTTGTTATTAGACATATTTAGGATTGTAGCACTTATTGGGTTGAGATACAGAGAGAACCGAACAGTCGATTCAGCTGTAGGGATAGAGGACTGCGACAGAGGCCAAGAACAGAGCAGGGCTTTGGATATAGACAAACTTTAGAGACATCAGAGGTATTTCTTTAACTTTTGTTCACTGAAGAACATTTGAGATTTATGCCTGTGTTGTGCCTTACCTGCCACTTGGACTGGCAGTTGATCCCTCCCCTGAGATGTGCTGCTCTTTAAGAATCCCTCCTTTTGAAATCCCACCATTTCTGTTTCACCTCTGCTACTGGATCGTTGCCTTTTCCATTATCTTTCCTTTTCAGATTCCCCACCAGTGGAGCTGGACGTGAGGGGTGGGGTACCGTCTTCCTG